CTAAAAATGCAATTGGCTCAGGTTGGTGGATGACAGCACAAACAATGAATAGAAAACTCCCGTGCGATCATTCATTCACAGATATTCCTGGGAGCAGATGATACCCCAAACCAAACCAGTTTACTGAGGCTGCATGCAGCCCCCATGGCTGTTTGTCATGCACATGTGCACACACAAAGAGGCAACACTGGAGCTAGTTTAGACCAGCCATGTGGTCAGGTTCATCTGGGAGCAGATTCATAATTGGGACATCTTGGCTCTGAGACCAGATAATATCCAGCAATCCAACCAAGACTCTGTCCTAATGTCTGGGCCATATTAGCTTAAAATAACTGTGTGTGTGTGTGTGCGCACACACACACACACACACAACCCCATCAAGGTCCAACCTCACTTAGCTTCCCAAGGCAGTTGCAGAGATGGGAGGGAAAGTTGAACTGAAGGAGTAGAAGAGCAACAGGGAAGTTAGAGAGGTAAGAGACCATTTAAATAAGTTTTAGCAGTAACAAGCACACCCTGAATGAATTGGTGGACTAGATATTTGGGAATCTTAACTATGGCCATTTGTGGGCATTGGAGCTGACAATGGGATTGAACCAAAAGGAAACAAATTTGGAGGGCGATGAAGTTATTTTGGAGGACAAGCACTATACAATAAGGATGAGTGAATTAATCTGGATGTGTGGTAAAGCAGCTGGAGAGACAAAGAGCAAAAGGACTTCATTGATTACTCAATGAACAGTGGGTTAGAAATTCTTTTAATAAAATGAACAATAATTAATAAAGCGGGAAACAGATTAACAGAGAAGTGCTAGAAGAACTTTTTAATGAATATTAAGTACAAGTTATTTCCTTTATCAATGTTTATGGTCAGATTATTTAATAATTAGCTAGGCATGTTAATAAATGTGTTCAGTTTGTATTTTAATGTAAACCTACCTGATTTGCACTTCTTGAACCAATGCATGAGGTGAAACACAACTATTTATTGAATTCTGTGATCCAGTAATACATTCATCACTGCTGCCTTGGGATCATCTCTGAGCAAAAAGCTACATTAGCTTATCTGAAACTCTTTAAGATCTTGACACCATTTTCTGTGCTAAGAAGAGCCAACTTACATAACATTATTTCGGTTTTATGAAGTGACACAAATTATATTACGTATATATAGTTGAATGACACATTTGCTTCTTATACACAGATCTGCTTCTGCTAGTAATGGAGCAAGGTAAGGCATTGATTTAGCGTTCGACCGCTGGTAATCTTATGCAACCACTCCTTCTGGCTTCTAACACATCACCAGGCATTGTCTGCAAGCTTTCGCACACACTACTTTAGCTAACAGCAATATAACAGGGCCATAGCTAGGCTTATTTTCAATAATTCTATTAATGCACTTGCCAGAGTGGCAGAATTACTGAGGCTAGAATGCGTTTTAATATGAAAACAAGATCAGCATTTTGAAAATCTTTTTTAAATGAACGCATGAAGAGGGATCCCTAGAGGAGTCAATATGGATCCAGGCATCTGCGTTGAGAGGAGCTTTTATCTGGAGCTTGCTCCACTTCAGGTAATGTGTCCCAGTGCCCTTCTTCCTCTTATTTGTTATGACAAGGAGTTTGCTACATCATGCCAGCCTTTGTTTCCAGACCATGCCCAAAAGGCTAACAGATTCTACCCCAGCTGTCTGGAGCTGCTGACTTTATCACACTTGTATTCTGAAGCCCTAGGTGATTTCAAACATTTCTTATGCCATATTGTTGGCCTGATGTTTCAGTAGGTGTCTGTCTTCAAAACAAAGGGACTGTGTTCACTACCACTGGAAAATGCAGGTCCCCAAGATGATCTTCAATGGTCATCTTAATTTAGCATACACCTGAAGCAGAACAGACTAATGTCTGCCAGCCTGAATGAAACCACTGAGCACAGCAAGGCAACTCCTGTGCCAGGCATACTGTGTGTCAGATTTTAAAAATCATAGTTTACTAAGGTGAGTCGGCTCCCTCAAATTTATTGCTCCATTATAAAGAGATTCTGATCTCTGATTTGCCAAGTTCATTGTGCCACAAAGAGAATTAACCACACTAAGTAGAGGGAGAAGGCTACAGTGTAATGTAATCCTGTAAGTAGCAGAAACAAAAAAAACAGATGCATGCCTGTTAACAGTACAAAATACTAATTAGGATCTGTCTGCCTAACACAAAGAGTTTGGCATGAAAGCTCAAGGGTGCTTCCAGAAACACCTTTGGCACCACTGCCTTGTAATGAGCCAGGAAATGCTATCTGTGCTCTTGAGTCCAAGTGGATGGAGTCTGCAAAACAGGGGTGGGGAGGCGAGTTCATTTGCTTCAGTTAAGGCCAATGTGAGAGTTGTTAACAGCAACTAACTCTGTTTCCAAGCTGAGAAAGGATTGCTCTTCAAACTCATAATACCACTTAATAAGATCGCCATTTGCTCCAATGAGCATGGAATTCGCAAAGCTGGTGTGTGCTCAGACAATAACAGGAAGATATTAGGTGCTGGTAAGAATCTGAACCCACTGCTGCCCTCCATAAACAGATACTGCCCTGGATGACAACAGCTCTGACTTTTCAATAAGATCACTAAGCTCTTAGTTTCCTTCTTCTCTCGCAAAAAATTCAGTGAAAATCATATGCACTGAATAGTCAGTAAGGCATTGCCATAGTCATTAAATTTTACCTGGGGGCAGCTTATCTTCCACTGGCCCTGAACAGGAATTAAACTAATGAACAGGTTTCTCCCTACATTGTGCCCAAACTGTTCTCACCTTTCTCATCTTCACCAAGCACTCAGAGGCAAAGCCTGGCTTGTGTACTAAGGTTTCATTATCTTACAACTTCAGGAAAGGCAGTTGTCAGGTTTTCAAAGAGACAGGATGAGAGCAGCATGATATATTTACACACTACACAGAGTGAAAGTTGAATGATCAGCCCTGGATCAGTGACCTGAGAAGGAATTATGTTTTCATTCCTAATACCACTTAATGAGATCACCATTTCCAGCAAGGAAGCCAGAGCCTACAAAGATTTTATATGGCCAGGGTAAAAATGGTGTGATAAGGACAGTGAAGGCTGGTTCATTAGGGCTACTGGGGCACAGCCCTCCCACTGAGTATGTCAAGGAGTTTTAAAACATTTCCTCCCCCAAATCTCAAATCCACACACACTTTCCTGTTCCCCACACATTTTATGCCTCCTTGGACTTAGAGGCATTTCTGTCAATCTCCTGTTCTCTGGCCAATCAGCTTTCTGCATCACTCAGTCAATCCTAAACCCGAATACAGCTATGGCAAAGAGGTCCCTCCCATGGATCTCTAAGCAACAAAACCAGGGGTCAGCAAACTTTTTCAGCAGGGGGCCAGTCCACTGTCCTTCAGACTATATTTTGAAAAAAAATATGAACAAGTTCCTACGCCCCACAAATAACCTAGAGATGCATTTTAAATAAAAGCACACATTCTGCTCATGTAAAAACATGCTGATTCCTCGACCGTCCATGGGTCAGATTTAGAAGGTGATTGGGCTGGATCCGGCCCCTAGTTTACCTGCTCATGAACAAAACCGTGTGATTGATTGGCGTGCCTGATCAGACAACCCACTTTGAAGGCTTCTACCTCATCTATTGATATGAGAACTATATGGCACAGCCACTATAGCAGATATGGAAGGAGTCAAAACTGCTTCAGACACAGCCCCATGTGGGTAGCTTTAACTTATATCACAATCATTCGTCTGTTCTGAGGATACACAGAGCTGAAGACTCTTCAGTACTTGTTCACTGAGCGCTCTTGCTTTTTGCATTTCTCTTTGATTGCCTTTCTGTGTAAAGTGAGCACCACTGGATACAAAATGAATCTCTTGTTTGTAAAACAAATGCTGTTCTTGCTTACTCATACCATTTTTGTTTCATGAATACGGACATTGGGGGGACTTGATCCATCCATAACAATTGGATTAGAATCTCACCACCACTCCAGCCACCTACTCTGCAGTGAAGACTAAAGGTAAAGGTAAAGGGACCCCTGACCATTAGGTCCAGTCGTGGCCGACTCTGGGGTTGCGGCACTCATCTTGTTTTATTGGCGGAGGGAGCCGACGTCCAGCTTCCGGGTCATGTGGCCAGCATGACTAAGCCGCTTCTGGCAAACCAGAGCAGCGCACAGAAATTCTCTTTAAAAAGGTATTGGAGCTGCCAAATAGGTGATGATCTCTCTTTAAATTCCCAATAAAGAGTTAATGGTGCATGATCAGGATTAAACATCGTATCTATTTCTGCTTTTACAACAGACTTGAAAAATGATGTTACAAAAGTGTAATAAAAAGACCTATGAACACTAGAATAATAAGTGCAGTCCCTTTTGTTAGGGTGATAATATCACCAAATACCCAGCCAACCATTTTTAAAAGATAACTGGGATATTATTAGCATGTCCTGTGTTTGTTGATCTGTCTAATCTTGGGCTCAATACCTCATTAAAGTCTTCTTCCTATATGTATGCTGCCTGCAACAAATGTATCCCAAACCTTAATTAGATTCATGAAAAACTGCTTTCGGCCGTGTGAGGCGCATAAACACATACAAATGTAGCTTCAAATTCAATTACACCTTTAAATAAAATGCATCTATCTTTCTATACTGCGGTTCCCTCTTTACTCATGGAGTTTATTATTCTCTCTAGGTCTCCAAGATGTCTAGCAATTGCAGCAACAAACCCTAGTCTCCTGGCTAAGAATCAGAGAGGTTCATGACATACAAACTAACAATTGCAGCCTGGCCAAGGGAGATACGAAGGCTAGCAATGCCGCCATTTTTGCACTGTTGGCAGTCTTGCCTATCAGCTACCATCTCACTTGCATGAAAAACTACTCATTGAAAGCAGTCTAATGACATGACTATTGTAAGATCAGAGGAGGAACTCACAATGATATCATGATTTGTAATGTGTGTGCAGAACAGCAGTTGTTCATGGACTTACCTATCCACCTCATGAGTGATGTCAGGATCTGAAGATACTTTGTTTTCTGCACATTAAAAAAGGTGAATGGGCCCAAGAGGATGGTAAATGCTGCCTGAAATAAGGAACAAACAAAAAGTCAAGAAAATCATGGAGTTAAAAGCAAACTCACTATGTACAACTCACATAAATTGTCTCTATTACTGATAATGATTCTTTTGTTTTAAAATGAAAACAAACCTTTTTCACAGTCAAACCATTTGACTGACATCTGACTAGGGCAGAATTAAAACACTTGTGAAATTGTGGTTCAGAAATATTTGCTATGACTGCTACGTAGCTCTACAAAATATTTATTTTCCATTCTTTGCCCATACTCTGTCTAGGCTTGCATACTTGTTCTTGCTAACCTATTTAGCAGTAGTACTCTCTAGATTTTAATAAAAGATACTGTAATGTCAATATTAAACACCCCATACAAAGAATACATCATTGGGGGGATTAGCATATAATTAACAAAAAATGATGAGCAAATCAGTATAAATTTAGGGAAGGTGCTAAAACTTCCAAAATTATTCCTGGTTAACCCCTCTATAGGTATCAAAAGTGAACAGAAGATTCCCACTTCTAAATGATTGTTCATTCTTCAATTTGTAACAGAGACCAAACTTGTTAAGCCGAACATGACACACTTTTGTTTTCCATCTCTTCACATCCCCATTTTTGCCAACACAACTATGCTTTACATCACTTCAACTTCCTCTTCTTGTGGACTCTCTTCAAATAACCCAACAGACGAGCCAGTATATTGAATGCTATCAGATTCTCTACCATTATAGTTGTTGTTATGTTACTGAAAAAAAGTTGTCGTGGCTACCAGGTCCCTGGGTTGGGGGATAGAGAGGCTGTATCCAATCATGACCACAATATTGAACGGGAACATTGGCCACAACAAAAAATCACCCCAAGCTAGACTTTGCCCTATGATACTAGTACGTGGTGCCCCCTGAGGCAAATAATCAACTAGGGAGGGGAGGAGAAGGCAATGATTTCTCATTCAGAAAGGTGTCCCAGTAAGATTTTAGTCTCCCCTCACCTGTTACTGAACTTTTATTTTAAAAAAACAGCTGGAGACCCCATTTCAGATCCCCTTAACACATGTCTCTTCACTGATAAGATTTATCCAGACCATTTTAATTATTCAGTGTGACAAACAAAAGGGCATCATGTCAGCCCTCAAACTGCCAGATTTTCAATATTTCACATTACTAATATAGATTCTCTTCAATTTTATGGGTGTCAAGGACAATTTTTTATATTAAAGGTTACAAATTGAGACATACTTTGTCTTAATAGATATTGCAATTTATTTTGTGTAATTATATCAATGTTCTGTTCCCATATTTTTTTAAGGAACAGTAAAGCTGATTCTGTAAAGCAGTTTGTTAAAAGCACATAATAAAACTGCTGGGAAAAGTCCTATAGATCCATTACACTGATAGTCTAATAACTCAAATAGTTAGAGCACTATTAAATGTCAACCTTTCTTTAAAATGTCTAATTTGTAAATATTGATAAAATATTGGAAGATTAATTTTAGACCCAATTTCCATTTATTTCTACTGTCTAGACAAGCAATGTTTTTTTCTTATCTTGTTCATTCAAAATTTATAAATAAAATACCAAAACCAGTAAAGTTAGTATTATTGTAATCACCTATAATGGCAAGATAAAGAGACTAAGAAAGAGGCAGAATTTATCCAACAGTTAAAGGGCAAGTTAACATTAGCTGCAATCCTGATTCTACATGTCAGTTCTTTATTAATTCATATATAAAGCTGGTAGTCAGGGAGCCTGTTTAGTCTCATTCCAATGAAAGCCATAAATATTCTTCAAAGCTCTCAAAAGTTCCCAACGGTGCAACAATACCGCAGCTTTGTAATACAGTTCAATATTTCAAAATCTTAGCTCTCCATTTATTTTGTGAGAAACTCATTATTTGCCATATGAGATGCTTTTATTAATCACAGTCCATCAGTCAGTAGTGCTGACTGCTTAATGAAATGAAATTTGGGGATAACATTTTTATATATGCAAATTTTCCTGTCCATAAAATACCCCTTATGTTCTTACAACAAACATCCACTTATTATCAAAATTCAAAATATTTTGTATAAGTAAAGTTACTAATTTTTAAAGTTCTGGGGGAGAAAGCCATTTGGACCATTGAATTTACATTGTTCTGCACTTCTGACAGTTATATACACATAATATAATAGACTTCAATCTACTGGGCTAGATTTTGTCAGTGGTATGATTTGAAACTGCCTGCAACATTATTCCACCAATATTAATTTGATGAGTTATGCTTTCTTGAAGCAAGTATGTTGTCCATGGGAGAATATGAAAAATGTGGTCCAAAGTAAAATGTTAAAATATTTAATGGTTCCATCTTTAAACTACTTTATGAATATCTGATAGTTTTCCCTTTTATTACTATTACTATTCTTCTTAAGGGACGCGGGTGGCGCTGTGGGCAAAACCACAGTGCCTAAGACTTGCCGATTGTATGGTCGGCGGTTCGAATCCCCGCGGTGGGGTGAGCTCCCATCTTTCGGTCCCAGCTCCTGCCCACCTAGCAGTTCGAAAGCACCCTTAAAAGTGCAAGTAGATAAATAGGTACCGCTTTATAGCGGGAAGGTAAACGGCGTTCTGTGTGCTGCGCTGGTGCAGGCTCGCCAGAGCAGCGATGTCACACTGGCCACGTGACCCGGAAGTGTCTGTGGACGGCGCCGGCTCCCGGCCTCTAGAGTGAGATGAGCGCACAACCCTAGAGTCTGTCAAGACTGGCCCGTACGGGCAAGGGTACCTTTACCTTTACCTTTTATTCTTCTTAATTTTTAAGCACTTGCAAAAACAAAACAAAACAAAACAAAACAAAAAACAGCAACACCAGGGTATGGTACAGTATGCCACAGAATGACAGAATCCAACTTTCAGGTTTTAAATTTCAATATCTTTTAATTAATATATAACACATACACATCATATAATCAAGTCACCTTCTTGAAAAACATCTATTTCTGTAATACGCTTTCCAAAGAAAGGTTTATGAGAGTCATTTCATAGACATTCTAAAATATATATTTTTATATCTGGGATAACATCTGAGGAAAATTATATCTTCCGTAGGGATTCAAACTATAAAAAATATTTTTTCTAATCTCTCGTGCGTCCTTTTCTCTCTCTGGGACTGCTTCCATATGTTCCTGATTTATCTAAAAATCTCACACCTGTAATTCTAATGCATCTCTTGGATGAATATTTTGTTTGTCTTCATTTTCTTGATTTAGTTAAGATATTTTCGCCTTTCAAATTAGAGCATCAAGTCCATCAACAGTAAAACAATTATTATTCAGTTTCCTAATTATTTTAATCCACTAATTCATTAACGGGATTCTTCATTATAATAAATCAGCTAATTCGTTAAAAATTGAGCTTCATATTACAAATGAAATAACAATCATTTGCATGAAATCAATAATTAACCAGTTCATTAAGCCCAATGACTTAATTCAGTTCCTTCTGCACATTTAAGTTTTATCAAATTTTAATCTCATTTTTCTTCAGAGTCATAGTTGATCATAATAGCAAATGTTTCACTATTTCACTGATTTATCCAATTATATGTTCTTCTATATGCAAATTTTTGCATATTCTGATTGCAGGATAGTTCACAAAGCTAAGAAGAACAATGACATCATAACATCTAATTTAATACTCCTGCCTTGATTGAGAATCCTTAAAAATAAAATAAAGAATTAGCAGTATGTCTCTGTAATGGCACCCCAGCTTCCCTGGGTCCTGTGCTGGGAGTTCCAGCCAAGTCATCATGTATAACCCTCTGCTTATCCACCCTTCCTGTTAAACTCTCAGTGCCACCAGGCAAAACTATTTTTCTATAAGGCTTCCTTTTACCAATCAACCTACAGATTCCCTTGTGTCTCCTTGAGAACACCTGCAAGTAGCATGAAACTTAGCTTAGACATGGGGTGGTTTTCAAATAACACAGACGTTTTATGAATTAAGACTTAAGGTTTGCTAAAATAGTTCTTAAGGAAAACAAGCTTATAAGCATTTCTGTTTTGACGCACCAGTTATATAATTTCTTATGTGGCTGCACTAGAACGTTTCCTCTGACTGGTTTGTGTATTTCAACAGTATCAACTGATACCATTGATACAAAGTGACTGATAATTTTGTATCAACTTAAAAATGTTATAAAAGTGACAGTGAAAAGAGTGGGTTGTTTGGAATGCAATATTTACTATTATTTTACATTATTTATATTGTAATGCCACCCGGTCTGGTGAGAGGACCCTTCCCCTCTGTACTGTATTTAAGCCATGATACTGAGGGCTTTTGAAGGGCAATAAGAAATAATAATAATAATAATAATAATAATAATAATAATTATAATAATAGAAATCTCTATGTGGGACAAGAAGCTACAGTTAGAACTGGATATGGAACAACTGATTGGTTCAAAATTGGGAAAGGAGTACGACAAGGCTGTATTTTGTCTCCCTGCTTATTTAATTTATATGCAGAATACATCATGCGAAAGGCTGGGCTGGATGAATCCCAAGATGGAATTAAGATTGCCGGAAGAAATATCAACAACCTCAGATATGCAGATGACACAACCTTGATGGCAGAAAGTGAGGAGGAATTAAAGAACCTTTTAATGAGGGTGAAAGAGGAGAGCGCAAAATATGGTCTGAAGCTCAACATCAAAAAAACGAAGATCATGGCCACTGGTCCCATCACCTCCTGGCAAATAGAAGGGGAAGAAATGGAGGCAGTGAGAGATTTTACTTTCTTGGGCTCCATGATCACTGCAGATGGTGACAGCAGCCACGAAATTAAAAGACGCCTCCTTCTTGGGAGAAGGGCAATGACAGGCCTAGACAGCATCTTGAGAAGTAGAGACGTCACCTTGCCAACAAAGGTCCGTATAGTTAAAGCCATGGTTTTCCCAGTAGTGATGTATGGAAGTGAGAGCTGGACCATAAAGAAGGCTGATCGCCGAAGAATTGATGCTTTTGAATTATG